GCCGCTCCACACCCCCTTGCGCAGAAAGCTGTTTCCAAGGCATCCGAGGCGGCTTCCCCGGCACTCAGTCTACGCCGGGCTAACTACTTCCGGCCGCCTCGGGCCCTCTCCCAGCCCCCGTTCCCATCCCGAGGAAGGTCCCGTGGAGGACACCCCGACGATGCTGGACCGAGCCGCAGGAACGGCGGTGACCACCAGCATGGACAAGAGGTAGAAATAACAGCGACTCCCGCAAGCTGCCGGGCTGCGCGGTCACTGCCAGCCGCCGTGAGCCAGAAGCTGCCGAGGCCAGGCAGACCCGACTGAGTCCCTGCCCGTGAAGCCTCCAGCACACGCTGCTGGAGCTTCCGGGGGCTGATGTCACTGGGGTGACGTCAGTCTGACCTCACAGGGAATGACGCCACGGGGGCTGATGTCATGGGGTTGACATGACAGGGGCTGTCCTCACGGGTGCTGACGTCACAGGGGATGATGTCAGAGTCTGACCTCATAGGGGCTGACCTCACGGGGGCTGACGTCACAGGGGCCGGTTAGAGTGGACACTGGTGCTGCCCAGCACAGGACCCCTCCTGAAGATGAGCCGGGAGCCCTCGGGGACCCAGAACTGGGACTCCGCGCTGGGGCCCTGGGGCAGTGGGCCGCGTCTGCTCTGGGCCCACGTCCTCAGGACACGGCAGTGGCAGCCGCTGCCCCGCCCCGGCGCCCTCCTGGGCCCTGCTTGCGTGGAGCGCTGACTTCGCAGGTACCCGCTCGGTCGTGCAGGGCTTGGCGCCTGGAGTGGACGAGGCTGGACACCACGGGCCGGACGCCAGGCTGATGGAGGCAGGCAGAGGCCACTCCAGGGCCTGGGGGCGGGGCGCCTGCAGGGCCCGGCTGCAGCCCCCCACTCCCGGGCTCCAGGGTCACAGGTCGCCCACCTGCAGGCCACAGGGGCCTGTGCCCTCCCCAGCACAGTCCCCGGCCAGGAGGAAGCCAGAGCCCTCCCCCGCCCGAGAGGCACCGCGGGGCACGCCTCCCCTGGAGAGAGCCCAGGCGCCCCACGGAGGGCCTGTGAGCTGCTGGCCCACGGCGCCGCACCTGGACTGTCCACCCGCCTCTGCAGGGCCGCTCCTGCGGGCTTGGCTCCCCGGGGAAGGGCGCCCCGAGTCCCCCCCGAGGGGGTCCCACTG